CAAAAACTTAAGAACAAGGTAGAAAGAAATAAGTAACAAAGTTAAAAGTTAAACATTACAGTCATTTTTAGCATAGCATAAAAAAAGAGTTAAGTTAAAAGTTAAACATTTCAATCCTTCTTAATAAGTTGAAAAATAAAGAAACAAAGCTAAAATTTCAAACATTGCAGTCTTTGCATTATTACAAAGCCATCTCATGAGGTTTCACACATAGATGGCCATGTTGATCTTTAAGTGGCCCTATTCTCTCCCTAGTTACTCTTTTGCCCTTAATGTATTTATAGTATCCCTTTGGATTCTCCTTAACTCTATTTGCCAAAGCTACGTCATGTCTCCTTTTTGCCTCCCTGATTTCCCTTTTAAGTATACTCCTATTCTCCTTTTACTCCTCTAGGAATTCTAGGAATCCCAGCTGTTACCAGATTCAGCAGTGATTGTTTCGATTTCTAAACTTGAATTTAACTGAACTTGAATACCTCTTTCCCATACTGGTTGTTCAGCGTAGTATTCAACTTCTTAATCTTCATCTGTCAATCCTAATGTCAGTTAGCATATAAAATTCTGTACTTTTATTCAGTTCACTGGATTTCCTCAGCAGGGCTCTACCTATTCTTCCTTAATGTCATTAGTTCTGGTGGAAGAATGCTGAATCTTGCCCCCAGCATGTGCTTTTCCAAGTTTCTCTGTTCTGAAATATCCTTTATCTTTGCATCAATGCACCGTCCTGGATTTTTAATCATGACTACAGATGTAGCTATCTATCTCCGTAATTAGTGAATTCCTTACAACTAAAATCTTCTACTCTTTCCTTTTCTCTTTGGATTGCTCCCACTCCACAGCGCCACAAGTAACATTTCATGAATACTCCATGTGTTCTTTTTTCATAATGTCAAAGGTATCTGGTATGTTGTACCTGTTGGACAGGACAAAAATCTGCCTGACCTCCTCCTTTATCTCTCCTTGACGCCCCCTACCCTGCTGCCTGACAGTCACTTGCTCCCATTTCTGCACCAGTGCTTTTGTCTGATGTCTGACTCCACTTTAGAGCAATTTAGGCAATCTAATTTCCCTAACCCTCAACGCATTCCCGAAGGTCTTGCCATTTGTTTCTTTTCAGAAACACAGGGGCTAGGAGTCCTTTCCTCTCCAGCCATCTTTGATATAAAATTACACAGGTTGACCACTCTCTGAGTGAAGAAATATTACCTCATCTCAATCCTAAATGGTCTATCCTGTATCCTGAGACAATTCCTCTTGTTTTAGACTCCCTGACCAGGGAGAGCATTCTCTCTACATCTAGTCTATCCAGCCCTGTTAGAACATTATACGTTTCAATTAAATCCCCTCTCACTCTTCTAAACCCTAATGAACACAGGCTCGGTTGAACCCCAACCTCTCCTTATACAACAATCCTGCCAACCTCAGCCTTGTCAAGCTCCCCTGCACTCCCTCTATGACAAGTACATCCTTTCTTAGGTTGGAAGATTAAAACTACACTCAATACTCCAGGTGTGGTCTCACCAAGGCTCTGTATAACTGAAGTAAGCCATCCTTACTTCTGAACTCAAATCCTCTTGCAATGAAGGCCAACATACCATTTTCCTTCCTCATTATTTGCTGTACCTGCCTACTTACTTTCATCAACTGGTGTACAAGGACACACAAATCCCAATATATCACCATTTAAATAATACTCTGTATTTCTGTTTTTTACACCAAAATGTATAGCTTCACATTTATCAACTGTATACTGCATCAGCCATGTGTTTGCCCATATGCTAAATTTGCCTAGATCACCCCAAAGCCTCCTTGCATCTTCTTCACAATTCACAACCCCACCTAGTTTTGTGCTATCAGCAAACTTGGAAATATTGAATTTGGTTCCCTCAACAAGTTATTTTGATATATCACAAATAGTTGCAACACAAGCACTTGTGTGATCCTTGCAGTACAGCACTAGTCACAAGCTGCCACACAGGAAAAGACCTAATTACTTTCACTCTCTTTTTAGTTTATCAACAGATTCTCAATTTATACCAGCATGTTACCCCCAATCCTAGATGCTTTAATTTTGCACATTAGCCTCTTATGTAGGACTGTATCAAAAGCCTTCTTGAAATCTAAATACACCACATCCACTGGTTTTCCCTCATCTATTGAGGTGCTTATCCAACTGACTATCCAATTAACATTTGAAAAACATGATTGAATCTACCTCCACTAATGTACTCACATATTGCGCATTTGAGATGCTAACCACACAGTGCAGAAGAAAAGTTTTCTTCATGTTGTGCCACTTACCATAAATTGCTGTCCTCTGGTTCTTAAACCGTCCATCAGATGGAAATAGAATATAGAACATAGAACAGTACAGCACAGTACAGGCTCTTCGGCCCACGATGTTGTGCGGAACTTTTACCCTAAACCTAAGGTTGATCTAACCTTCACCGCTACCTTATACTATCATCCATATGCCTATCTAATAGCCACTTAAATGCCCCTAATGAGGCCGACTCCACTACCCTCTCCGACAATGCATGCCATGCCCCTACCACTCTCTGAGTAAAGAACCTACCTCTGACGTCTCCCCGATATGTACCTCCTTTCACTTTAAAACTATGTCCCCTCGTAAAAGCTACCTCCACCCTAGGAAAAAGTCTCTGGCTGTCTACTCTATCTATACCTCTGATCATTTTGTACACCTCTATCAAGTCACCTCTCATCCTTCGTCATTCTAAAGAGAAAAGCCCTAGCTCTCTCAACCTTTCCTCATAAGACCTTCCCTCCATTCCAGGCAACATCCTGGTAAATCTCCTCTGCATCTTTTCTAACGCTTCCACATCTTTCCGTAATGAGGTGACCAGAACTGGACACAATACTCCAGACGTGGCCGAACCAGGCTTTTGTATAGCTGGAGCATAATTTCACAGCTCTTGAACTCAATCCCTCTATTAATGAAAGCTAACACACCATACACCTTCTTAACAACTCTATCCACCTGGGTGGTAGCTCTCAGGGAACTGTGAACATGAACCCCAAGATCCCTCTGCTCCTCCACACTGCCAAGAATCTTTCCGTTAACCTGTATTCTGCTTTCAAGTTTGTCCTTCCAAAATCAATCACCTCACACTTTTCAGGGTTAAACTCCATCTGCCACTTCTCAGCCCAGCTCTGCATTCTATCAATGTCCCTTTGTAACTTAGAACAGCCCTCTGCACTGTCCACGAACTTGCTAATCCACGCTTCCACTCTTTACAAAAATCACAAATAGAAGAGGACCCAGAACAGATCCTTGTGGTACACCACTCATAACTGAACACCATATTGAATATTTTCTGTCCACTACCACCCTTTGTCTTCTAAGGATCAGCCAATTCTGAATCCAATCTGCCACATATCCCCCTATCCCATGCCTCCTTACCTTCTGCATGAGCCTACCATGGGGAACCTTATCAAACGCCGTACTTAAATCCATGTATACCACATCCACTGCTCCACCTTCATCCATATGTTTGGTCACCTCTTCAAAGAATTCAATAAGGTTTGTGAGGCATGATCTACCCCTCACAAATCCATGCTGACTATCATGAATTAAACTGTGCCTTTCCAAGTGATCATAAATCCTGTCTCTCAGAGCCCTTTCCAATAATTTGCCCACCACTGACGTAAGAAAAAGTTTGCTCTGTCTAAACCCCTCATGATCCTCTATCAAATATCCTCTTAACTTCCTCTGCTCTAAGGAGAACAATACCAATCAGTACAGGTAGCTGAAATTTGTCATCCCCACAACAATTCTTTTTAACCTTTTCTGCAGCCACTCTTAATTATTTACATCCTTCCTAAATGAGTGATGTTCACAAATTAAACACAACACTCCATTGGAGGTTGAACCAAAATGTTATGAGGACACATCATTGTGTCCTTGCTTTTATACTCAAGGTTCTCTATGTTTGCCATTCCTGTAGATTTTTAACCACTTCTTCAATCTGCCCTGCTATCTTCAATGTGTGTACATGTATCCCCAAGTCCCTTTGCTGCAGAACCCCTTTTAGTATTGTGCTTTATAGTTTACATTGCCTTTTCCCATTCATCCTAGCAAAATTAATTGTATTATCAGTTGTGAAGAAGAGTTAAATACAGAATCCCTATGGTGTGGAAACAGGCCCTTTGGCCCAACAAGGTCCACACTGACCCTCACAGCATCCTACCCAGACCCATCCCCCTATAACCCACTTAATCTACACATCACTGAACACTACAGGCAATTTAGCATAGCCAATCCACCTATGCTGCACACCTTTGGACTGTGGGAGGAAACCAGACCACCTGGAGGAAACCCACACAGACATGGGGAGAATGTGCTAACTCCACACAGACAGTTGCCTGAGGGTGAAATTGAACCCAGGTCCCTTGTGCTGTGAGGTAGTATTGCTAACCACTGAGCCATTGTGCCACCCACTAATCTTCAGACTTGAAACGTTAAGCTTGCTTTCTCTCTCCACGGATGCTGCTCAACCTACTGAGTTTCTCCAACATTTTCTACATTAATTTTCGGATTGCATCTGTCACTGCCTGTTCACCCCACCAGTCTGTCTATGCTCTTTTGATGTATATCACTATCCCCCTCACAGTTCACTCGTCCCTATTTCCTCTACGACACAATATGTTCACTGTGCAATGATATAAAATAGTGTGTTGGACTGGTTTGTAAAAATCATTCCACAAACGTTGTCAATCGATTTGGTTCTGAAATAAATAATTCTGTCAAGGCAACATCGTGTTTCTGCCACTTTCCAGAGGATGGTATCAAAACAGCTGGGGATGTTTTTTTAAACACAAAATCATTATACGGTGGGGTCCACGAATGGGGACGTTCCCAAGAGGGGACGTGATATTGCCCTTTTAATTAGCTACAGTAGACCGGCTCCCAGCGCGTAAGGGGAGCGCCCATTGGCTACACAGGCTGCTGATTCTGGTCCGATTAAAGGCACGTCGCATCCTGTGATCTCCAGAGGGCAGGGGTTTGAGAGACGGGTCTGTTTCGTACGTGAAGGGAATCACTTTAAATTTTCCAACAGCTTGGAAATCTCGATGAGATTTTCACGCTGATTGAAATGCAGTCTTGTGACCGAGACGTTGCAGTGCAGGTAGAGTGGCTACGCTGCCAGAATTGAAGGGGGGAGTTTGTCGGTGGTTGAATGGTACTATGGGGTGTCGGTAAACAGCGCATTGCTGTGGAAACCTGTGCAAGCTGGGGCTGGGGGGAGTTGGCAATTGGAGCTTCACTTTCCATGATTTGATTCAGACCCGAGCAGATGCGTGCAATTTTGGGGATGCAGGACATGTCGATAGCTCAACAGCCAACTCGCGGACGTGTTTATTGCAAGTAATCTTTCTGGCAACGGTTTGTACATTCGCACTGTTCGTTTAGTGGGACGAAGAAACCGAATTTACCAAGTTATCGAGGTAAAGTTGAATTGTGAGCCTGCTGTGGACGCCGGAACTGATTTGAGAAGACAGGAGCTCCTCCATTCTTCTCCCTAACACAGGAGGATATTGCAGGGAACTGGTGGTGAGTTACAGTTTACTCAGTCCGAGTTGCTGTGGCAGTATGAACTTTCACGTGTTGCTGTTTTGGATGGTGATAGTAAAAGGTCCAATGTTCTTTCCCTCACATGGCTGATCATGAAACTCCAGGGGTAATAGAGTTTGTAATTTTATTTCAAAGTATATTTTATTGTCTTTTAAAAAAGTTATGCACATACATAGTTATTAAAGCAGTCCTGTACAGTCTTTGAACATGGATTACAAATAAATGTTGGAATCTGGCATTCCCTGCGGCTCCAAAATAAAACCAAGGCATTTATTTGTTATGCATGGTGGTATTTGCATACAACTGAGGCAGTAAGGGGGTATGGCAACTGAATGGACCCCAATTGTACTTTGGCAGAAAGACCTTAAAGTGTGGCCTTTTCCCCACTGTGCCTTGGCTTTAACGAATTCCTCAGCACGTAATCCTGGATCTTGGAATGTGTCAATCTGCAACCATCTGTCCCAAAATGTCTGGGTTTAAATTCCAACAGCCCCAAAGATGTGTCATTATCACTTCTGGTTTTCCTGCTATGTGAAAAATGTTAAACTTGAGAAGGTACAGAAAAGATTTACCAGGATGCTGCCAGGTTGGAGGGTTTGAGCTGTAGGTGGAGGCTGAATAGGCTGGAGCTATTTTCATTGGAGGCTGAGGGATGACCTTGTAGAAGTTATAAAATTATGAGTGGCATGGAGAGGGTGAATAGCCAAGGTCTTTTTTTCCAGGGTAGGGGAGTCCAAAATTAGAGGGCATAAGTTTTAAGGTGAGAGGGGAAAGATTTAAAAGGGACCTGAGGGGCAAAACATTCATGCAGAGTGTGGTGCGTGCATGGAATCAGCTGCCAGAGGAAGTGGTGGAGGCTGGTACAATTGCAACATTTAAAAGGCATATGAATAGGAAGGGTTTAGAGGGATATGGGCCACGTTCTGGCAAACAGGACTAGATTAATTTCAGATATCTGGTTAGTGTGGACTGAAGGGTCTATTTCTATGCTGTACAACTCTGACTCCAAGTCCAAACAAGTTGGTTTAAAAATAACTGAGATGGGAGGATCATAGTTAAAATTTGTTGCTACTGTGGACTGCAATTAGACATCAATAGAGTGAGAAGTGTGAGTAATGGACTACAATCTGACATAAATGAGATCAACTTCTATTTTGTGGTTGTACTCTGCATTAATAAGGTCTAGTCACCTTAGCTTTTGCCTGTATAGGATTCTAATTTTTCTTTATTTTTGGACTTGCAGGAACCCATAGAGCAATATGACTACACTTGCTGAAACAAAAGCTGTTCTTTGCAGTGCTGATGCAGTCTGTTTCGATGTTGACAGTACAGTCATTAAAGAAGAAGGAATTGATGAACTAGCAACATTCTGCGGTGTCGGCAATGAAGTAGCAGAAATGTAGGTGCTTGATAGGTTTGTCTGGGCTGTTGTTTTCCCGCCATTTAACAGTCTTTACCTATCTTGTACAATATTTTACATTCCTCCCTTTTTTAAATAAATCCTGATTCCCCAACTTATAGTTATCCAGGAACCTTAATTGAAAGGTTTTCAATGTTGCGAGTAACAACAATGTCATCAGCAAATATGCTCAACTGGCAATAAAGCAAGATAGTTTTTGTAGTGCAGAAGTTGCAGCTAGTAAGGCAGCCTTTTGTCGAGTCACAAATATGTCATGACATTCTCAAATGAGTTAGAAATTAATAGTTTTGATATTTGTTCTAAGAAATCAGCTGCTTTTGATGTGGAATTGATAGGTTAGTGTCCAGCCAAATCAATGAGATGGACTTCGTGGGAGAAAAGCCATTCACGGCTGGACAGGCTCTTTGTAGGAACCATTCAGTTAGTCCCGATCTTCTCCATTAGGTCTACAAATTAAAAAAACAAATTACTATTGACTGAGAATGCAGTGTGGAGCTGGAGGAGCAGAGCGAGTCAGGCAGCATCCGAGGAGCAGGAAAGTTGACGTTTCAGGTTGGGACCCTTCTTCAGAAATGAGCTTCCTTTCTGGGCAGTGTATTATGGAGTAGAAACTAGACCCAGACAAGCAGTATACATTTAAAGCACTTAGATGGCATCACAGCGTATGATGCTTCAGTATAAATGCACCTGCCTCCCCTTCAGTTGCAGCTGTAGTCACAACGATTTTGTAATACTGTGCCCAGGCTATGTACAGGCTTGAGATCTTATAACAGTGTAAATAGTCAGTGTTGTTTATAAATCTGAAAACATCTGGCTCATCAATAAAGACTCATTTTGTATACATTACAAAGGCTAAAATGTAGAGAACATTCAGACAGTATCATTACTGGCACCTAGGATCCACATTATATTCCAGATCCTAACAATTTTCTTTTTCCAACAAAACGCTTCTGTTGCTAGTTCTTTTTGAATTATTTAAAATGTGTCCACAAGTTACTAATTCTTCAATCAGTGAACACTGTTTCTCCTTATTTACTCTGGAAGCCTATTGTCATTTTGAACACTTTGTATAACTTCCCTTGTTCATCTTAGAGCTGAGAGATTACAACCCCAACCTCTCAATATCTCTGGGTAAGAGTTCTCATATCTCTGGCAGTTCCCTCCCCCCCACCTCACTGGATCAAGGCTGACTTGGTTTCATTGAGGTTTGATAGGTTATGAAATGCATGTAGATCGCACATTGGATTAGTAGACTCTGCCATGAACTGGAAAGGATAGTTTTGGATGATGTACACTTCCTCCAAAATGTCAACTTTGGCTCTGGATGCTCCTGACCAAAGGATTGATGTATTTGGTGCCTTTCTGACTGAGCCCTCTGGTGCTGATTTTCTGAATTTCCATCACCAGTTTTCCCTGGAAATGGTTGGTCCACAGAGTTTTTGTCATTCCCTATTAGTTACTTTTGACTGATTTTTGTTTTTAGGGTGCAGGTAGCTCAATGCATCACTGGATTTGTACCTCAGCCTTAAGGCAGAGCCTTAAAGCCGCTCCTGCCCTCCTACAGATCTCATTGTACTGGGATTGGTTGCTCAGGTTGCAGTGTTCAAAAAATGAGCAAAATTGTGGCTACAAAGTTTCATGAAGAAAGTTTTCTGTCACAAAGCATGTTGTTGCATGCAGTGGCATTTTCCAATCAACTTTATATTTTTCAATATTTATTACAGAACTGGAAATGCAATGAGAGGGACTGTCTCATTTAAGAAGGCTCTAACAGAGCGTCTATCTATAATACAACCTTCACGAGAGCAAGTGAACAAGCTCCTAACTGATCACCCCCCATGCTTAACGGAGGGCATAAAGTAAGCTACTGATAAACTCTAAATGTTAAAGGTGATTCTGGTGTTGAGTTACTGCAGAAATAACAAAATTACAGTGAGAAGGAAGAAGTAATTTTTATAGTAATAAAAACTTGTGTAAAAATGCATTTATTTCTCCTTTTCTGCTGTGTAGAAATCTTTTTGGCACTAATCCTTATCATAAGGACTATTCCTCATGGGTGCTCAGAATGGAGAGTGACCTCAGGATCTTTTATTAATAATGATGAGAAAATTGGACCCCACCTTTATTTCAAAAGAAACATAAATGTAATAAGCTCAACTAGTTCTGCTTGGGATTACCTATTTTAAAGCAGGCTCGGAATGGAATTCAGAAAATGGCTGTGTCAACAAATATCTGCTTTGTTTGATCTCCTGCATAACTATTTCTTAAACCTTTTATTTTCGAAACAGGGAACTGGTTGGTCAACTTCAACAACGTGGTGTTGAAGTTTTCTTGATATCTGGTGGTTTCAGGAGCCTAGTGGACCGTCTAGCAACAGAGATAAATGTTCCCTTAGCCAATGTTTATGCAAACAAGCTGAAGTTTTACTTCAATGGTAAGGATTAATGGTAATTGACTATTTTTAGATCGAGAGAGAGAGAAAGAAATGAACTGCTGACTGTAACCAGAATTGCTTTCTTCTCTCACCAGGTTACAATCTCCATGAGAAAGCATAAACCAAAATAATCCAAATGACTACTTCTGCTTTAGCATGGCTGAGCTACTTGCTACTCCCAATTATCTGGGTTTTAGACTATTTTGCTTTTTGACCATTTTTGTTTCTGCGTGCAACATACCTCCAAGAGCTTCTGCCTCCTTACTTCGCAAACAGAGAAACTGACCTCTCTCTGAGAGAGATGCTGCTTCCTCCTGCATTAATTCAGTCATTCTCTTTCTGTCTCTGTCACCTTTGCTGATTTTTGCCTTCACCCCCTGCCGCCCAACTGCTCTGCTTGTAGCTCTACTTTCTGTCTTGCCACGTGGCTTCCGGTCCTGCTTCCAGATGAAGGATGATCGGGACCAGTAATTCTTGATACCCAAGGAAACTGCAATCGATTCCTTTACAGTTAATATAACTGATATAAACCGATTTTTCAAACATGCTTAAAAACAATTCCACTGACGTTTGAATCAATTACTGTGCTACTTCCAGGTCAATGGTCGTCACACCTGTGAAGAAAGCACAGTAAGGCTGAACATTAGTTGGTGCAGGAATTAGAGAGTGTTGACTCAAAGCTGTCTCGCTACAATGATCCCAATATCTCCATTGCCCCTAGTTTCTTGTACTGTCTGACATCAAATACTGGATGAACAGCAATTTCTTCCAAAGAAATATAGGGAGGACTTAATCTTTACTGCCTGCTTTTAAAGTCTGTTCCTGAGCCATCCACTTTGTCCTTTTTCCTGGGATCTGTCTGAGAGTCAATTAAAGTATTTGAAACTTGGTGACGTTTTAGACCTTAAAGATGAGCTTCTGACCATATATTTGGGCCATCACCAAGATTGCTGTGACTCTGCCCCACCACAGTTCATCCACTGCTGAAATCCTAATCTCTGCAGTTATTACCTCCAAGCTTAACTATTCCAGCTTGTAACTGCAGTGATTCTCGATGGTCGCATGACTTGCCTTGTATCAAATATGCTGATTGTGTATGCAGTGGAAAGGCTGTAGGTATGAGGAAAATGCCTCAAGACCACTCCTATCTTTGCTACCCAGCCACCCCATTCAGACCGCTGAGGGCAGGAAATAAGGAGGCCTAATGATATCGAGAATTACAGGGATCTCTTCTAACCTTGTAAAAGGAGACAGTCATTTCTAGTGCAAGCCTGCTCTTGGACACATTTATCATAAAATAGGTCAAACACATGTTGACCTGTCGAGTCGTTGCTGGATCCCTGCGAGAACAGTCCCGTGAGTCCCACCCCCTGGTACTATCCCTGTAACCCTGCAATTTGTTTCCCCTTTCATGTATGAATGAAGTTTGCTTTTGAATGCTTTGCTGGAGTCCACCATCACAACACTTTCAGGCATTGCATTTCAGATCATTTATCTATCACTCGCTGCAAAAAAAAACAAACTTTTTTTGCCTTTGACGTTTTCTGAAGTTTTTTATTCAATCCTGGAATGTGGGCATCACTGGCTGGGCCAGCATTTAATGCCTGTCCCTAGTTGCTCTTGAGTATCAATTCCAAAAGGATTCAAACTCTAATGCACAAGAGCAGAATTTTTTCTTTATGAATCCAAATGTCTTTATTGAATGTTAGCAGGTGATTTGACTGGTCAGTGAAATCGAGTGTAAATTAATGAGGGCGTGATGTGGTTATTGGTTCTTGGGTAAGGACAGGATTTGGTTATGTATGTCCCACAATTGGATAATCTCCAAATATTAATGTTTAATGTTCAAAAATGAATAGTTGTCACTTGTTTGAAGGCAGTTGGTGGTTGTGGAACCGTACTCCAAAAGTAAGACAGTCATTGAGACGGGAGAAAAGTGGCAAAGGAGGCAAATATCAAAGTAAATCATCATCTACCTGACACTTTTTAATTTTGACCACAATTATTTCAGTTCCATAAAATATATATCAATTTTTTTCTTTCAACACAGCTACACATGTAATATATTGTACAAATATGTCAGGGTGACACTTAATTAGCATAAACTTAAATCATTTTAGATTTGGATATGAAGGTATACAGGAACCCTATTCCATGGATCCTTAACATTTCCTATTTATCATAGTTCCCACATAAACCTTATTAGTCAAATAGTCAAGACAAGTGACCTGCTCCTAGCTGTAAACTGCTGATTGGGAAGTTTGAGATTTGCCTTGGTTTTTATTTTCCATCTCTTCCTCCTCTTCCATTGTAGTTTGTGAGGTTCTAGAGATGGAAACTCAAATGATTTGCCCTCTGGATTAAGAGATTCTTTTCCCAGTTCTTTTCACGTCATCACTCATTCACATACATCACAAACATTTACTATCTATGCTACTGCATGTACAATTGACAATGCTGACCGTGGTCTTTCGAGCATGGTGAACAGTCAAAGACATCTCTATTCATATTTTATTGTATCACTTCATCATATTTTATATATGCAGTAAGTTACAAAAGCTAAGCAGCTAGTGACAGATTGGGAACATAGGCCTGCATCCCAGTATCTGGTAAATTTTGCCCTATATGACCATTTATTGACACTGGCCTGTGTATGAGGCAGAGAAATAAGAATGGTTAGTTAAAGGGGGCACACAATGTAACATTGCGGATCATACTTTTACTACCTGGGAGGAATATTGTGGCCTCAACATCCCTTTCCTGTGTGTCTCAATGACCCTCAACTCCCTTGTTGGTCAAAAATCTATCTAAATCAACCTTAGAATCTGTGTCATCAAATATATTCAATTGCTGTCTGGAGAAGAGAATCACACACACTAATGACCCTCAGGAAAAAAAAATAGTTCTTATTTCAATTGTAGATGTGAGATTGCCTAATTTTTAAACCATTTCCCATAGTTCTAGATTACTACCACAAAGAGAAACATCTTGTCAGTCTATCACAATGCTTCAATAAGATCACCCTTCATTTTTCTGAACTTCGTAGGGAATAGACCCAACTTGCTCAACTTTTCCTCTTAAGATAGTGCTTTCATCCAAAGAATCAGTGGAGAGAACCTTCTCTGAACTGATTCTAATATAATATCCTTCTGTAAGAAGATACAGACTGGTCCTATGCAGCTGGAGGAGTACTTCCCACTCTTAGTTTTAATGTCATGAGCAGGCAGGTCTTGAACCCAAGCCTTCTGGCCCAGAGGTAGGGACTGAATCAGCACCTCACGAGTCCTCTTCTCCACTTTTGGACTTGATTTCCCTTGCAGGATAAAGCAGTCTCATTTGCTTTCAAGCCACTAGCTGCAAATTGCATCACAGCTTTTTGTGATTCAGTTACCAAGACACCCAGAATCCCCTTCTACTGTAAAGTTCTTAACTGAATAAAACTGAATGGGATTATGCATAAGAGGTATACAACAGTTGACCTTGTTTTGCTGCAGGTGATTATGCTGGTTTCGATGAAACCCAACCAACAGCAGAATCTGGTGGGAAAGGCCGAATCATAGCTCGTCTAAAAGAAGAAAGAGGCTTTAAGAAGGTTGTTATGATTGGAGATGGAGCCACAGACCTGGAAGCATGGCCTCCTGCAGTACGTACAAACGTAGAATGAACTTTGTTACTTCAAAGGAGTAATTTGATGTTTAGTTAGTCTTAACCTTAAGCTTTTCATTGACCTTTTTTGGAACTGATTTCTAATTCTAAACAATCAACCTTTTTGTACTTAAGTTATAAAGAGTAAATGCCCGGTTAAACTATTGGCTTCTTTTTCTAGGATGCATTTATCGGATTTGGTGGGAATGTTGTCCGACAGCAAGTAAAAGAGAAAGCCAAGTGGTTTGTCACAAGTTTTAAAGAAATTATTGAAGAACTGGAAAAGTGACTTGTAAAAATTTTGTTGACGTTTGTAATTTAAGATCAACGTGAAGAGATTCTTTAGTTTTTAATGATTTTTAACTCTTAACTTCCCTTCTTGATCTTTCAGATAACTTCTGGCTTCTACACAGTCTGTAGCTGGGTTCAAGATTTGAGTGCAATTGCCAACGTCACAAGCTGGGTCTCAATTTTTGTTCTCTCCCTCCTGTAGGGTGATTCCAACCTAATGCCTTGCAGTGAAATTGTATGTTTGAAAGAATTGAGTCATGCTCAGCATTTGAAACACAAACCCATGATCAATATGGTGTCAAGAAATTTTTGTCTTTTCAAAAATGTATTGGCTCTTTAGATTCATCTCTTTTTTTCTAAGTTGTTCACTTGACTGATTCCTCAGATCAAGGCGTCATCTTGGGATGAAAGGTTGAGTAAGTTGGCTCTATATCCAATGAAGTTTGGAATAACAAGAGATGATCTTTATTGAAACATAGGCGATCCTAATGCGACATGACTGATGGGATGTTTTCCCACTGTGAGGGAGTCTAGAACCAAGGGAGACAGTTTAAAAATTAGGTGTCTCATTTAAGACTGAAATAAGATGAATGTTTTATCTCTGAGGGTCAATGTTTTCTGCAGTTATTTTCCCGAGGAGCAATGGAGGCTGCGTCATTGAATTTATTCAACATAAATGGAGTAAGGGACAGGCCATTATGGCCCCTTAAGCTTCCTCCACCATTTAATAAAATAATGGCTGATCTGATCATAACCTCAAATCCACATTCCTGCCAAACCTGATCACCTTTCACCCCATTGTTTATCAGAAATGTTTCTATCTTTGTCTTTAAAATATGCAAAGACGCTGCTTCCACTGCCTTTTCAGGAAGAGAGTTTCAAAGACTTGTACCCTGTGGGGGTGGTGGGGGGGGGAGGGGAAGAAATCACATAATTTTTGTTCTAATTGAGTGACCTTTTCTTTTTTAAACAATAACCCCTAGTTCTAGACTCTGTTCCTCTCATTGGCGATCCTGTCGACATCTACACTGCCAAGATCCTTTCATGGTCTTGTGTTGCAGTCTAATGTGCTGCTGTTGGAGAACCCACTGATGACGTCACATCCGCCACTGCCGGGTACCCCACTTCCGCGACAGCGAGCGCCATCGCTGCTGATGCCACCGCCTCCATTTCCGAGACCAACACAATAGACACTGAAGACGTGCCTACCGTCGCCGCTGCCTGCCCGGCTCCGCCCACTGCCCACAGCTGACGCAACCCCGTCCACAGCCGACGCTGACATCGCTCCGCCCACCACCCCCAAAGCTAGCAGCTCCAGAGGAGACAATAGCACCCAGCCCTGCCGAGTCTTCACCATCCCCCCAGACCTTCCCCCTTACTGAGGATGAATGGTCAGTCCTCAGTAAAGGGCTCACCTTTGTCCCCCTCCACCCACACATCAACGAATACCAGTCACGTTTGGACATTGAGCAGTTTTTGCGCTGCCTCCGCCTCCACGCTTACTACTTCAACCGTGAGCCTAACCTTCCCTCTACTGGCCCCTTCTCCTGCCTCCAACCCACCCCCTCCTCCTGGACACCACCCCAAGGCCTCCTACCTCCCTCGACCTCTTCATCTCCAACTGCCATCGTGACATCAATCGCCTCAACCTCTCCCCCGCAGAACGTGCAGTCCTCCGCTCCAAACCCAACTTCACCATAAAACCTGCGGAC